TGTGTGTATTATTTTTCCAACAGACCAACGCTCTACTAAAGAACCTCCTCCGCAGATGTTCCGGTAGACAAGCGAGCCCTCAGTGTCTTTCCGGTCTGATGATGGACCTTTGCCACTGGTTTCATTTGCCGAAAGAGGGTAACCGCATTTGATTGTGTATGCATTTGAAGATATGCTAGCGAACAAGCAAAACAAAATCTATTTGACCTCTCTACTACTTAAAACCTGTCAAACTCATGGTCAGAATGTTCCGCTCAACTTAACGCAATGTTGACTTGAAAAGGTGTTTGTAAATCTATCCAATGCTGATAGATTGGTAGATTCTATTGATTGAAATAAACGCATGGCATAAAGCATGAATTCGGTGTTTATTGTTTATCGTCTGTCGATGAAATGGCGACAACTGAAAGAGAAAACTTATTCTTAAATTTAATTCATATGTATATCCAGGTTGAATACACAAAATAGGACAACTGTGAAATGAAGACATGTGCATCACGTGACAAACGTTAGCGCGTGTATCGACACTGAGGTAAATACTAAAAGACTCTCATTACATTTTACTTGGTAGTATATTATGGTGGAATATGTAACCCGGGATTCGAAAATGTTTTGAAAAATAAACATTCATGTACGTTGATTATTTCATAAAAGGCATTTTCTTAGACTCAGCGGTCTTTGCTGTTTTTCAAAGTTCAGTCAAAACTGAACGAGAACAGGCTTTTAATAGTTTTGACACGTTTATTGATATTTCTTACAAAAAAAGGCATTTTCAATATGTGTCCATGCACAAAAGATTATATAAAATGTTTTTATGTTATTTCAAAATGCAAGTTACTTAAGAATATCGTTTAAAAGTCCCAAATGAGCTCTAGAGGCCAAGTGAACTTGGATCATTGTTTGTGCATATAAGCAACATTAAACAAATATTACTACTGAGATTAGTTAGCACGATCGTTTTATCTTTAAAAGACAACAAAAACAAAATGCAATAAACTTGAGAATGCTTTTAATCTTAATTGATACATTGTAACTGATTTTTTTTTAAATGAAATGATCCAGACGAAAGGTTTTGACAAAGCTTTATTCTGTATTACTTTGTCTCGCTATATTTTACACGTACCCACTGTAACACAGGATGTAGATACTAACTTCAAAATTGATCAAAACTGTCATCAGCATTATTTGTTAATCCAGGAGATTGAATACAAATGTTTTGGTGTGCATTTCTTACAATATTGATATTATGTTGGTTTGATACAGTTGGGAAGACTGGAAGGGTAATTAAATTAGTTTGAATATTGAAACGATGTCGATGATACACAATCACATAAAGTATTGTGTACACTTGTCTAATTTCCAAGGACGTCATCAAATCTAACAAACGTCTTTACAATAGTACAATGGCATTGTTAAAGATCCTTCTGAGCTACATTGTATATATATATATCAAATACGGCGATAACATAAGATAAATATAATTGGATTGTTACTCAAACAGGGACGTGCCATAAGACACTACCGGACTACAGCTGAAATATTGGGAGATTTGAGGGTAGGAAACGTCAAATATCAGCATGACGCAACCAGGTGGGGAACATCGCGAAGTAAACAAACAACCGGACAGCACTGCCCCACTGCTCCACTAACTAGTTCGGAAATCCCTAGCAACAGGTGTGATACCGGATGACTGGTGCACTGCTAATGTAACACCCACCTTCAACAGGTGTGATACCGGATGACTGGCGCACTGCTAATGTAACCCCCACCTTCCAGAAGGGACATTAGTACGGACAACTAACTACAGGCCAATTTCCCTCATCTCTGTCTGCTGCAACATTATGGAGCACATCCTGACCTCTACCATCAAGACTCACGGAGAACGAAACAACATCTTCTATGATTAACAACATGGCTTTAGAAAGGGCAGGTCATGTGAGACCCAGCTTAATGACTTTGTAGATGACATCACCAACAACCTTCAAGCAGGCCAGCAGACTACTCATCATGGACTTTGCGAAAGCTTTCGACAAGGTCAACTACAGTCTCCTCATCCAAAACTCAGCCATTATGGGATACGCGGGAAAATCAACTCCTTGATCGAACACTTGCTGGCTGGAAGAGCACAAACTGTCGTCGTGGAAGTTGAGAGCTCCATCTATTACATCAACGACCTGCATGAGTCTTTGAAATCCACCGTCAGACTCTTCGCGGATGACACCATATCCTATCTCACCATTACATCATAGGACAGCAGTAAGACCCTACAGAAGGACCTCGACAGGCTGACCAAATGGGAACGGTTATGATGTATGATATTCCATCCTGACAAGTGTAACATCCTTATACTCACCAACAAGAGAAACCCAACCAAGACCAACTATCACTCACAGGGCCACTATCTGCAGGAGGTCAAGGTCAACACAGCCCCCTACCTAGGTGTCACCATTTCCAACAACCTTAAATGGGACACCCACATTAAGAAGATAACAGGGAAGGCAAACAGAATCCTAGGCTTCCTACGGAGAAATCTGAAGAGTACATCCACCCAGATCAAGATACTAGTCTACACCGGCCTGGTCAGACCTTTGCTTGAATATGCATCCTCCGTATGGGTCCCGCACACACAGCACAACATCAACAGCATTGAACACATCCAGAGAAGAGCTGAAAGGTATGTCACCACCCGTCATCGTAACACGTCCAGCTTCTCTGATATGCTTCATATGCTCAGGTGAAAACCACTACAAGAAAGGAGGAAGGAAGCTAGACTAGTGATGTTATACAAGATTGACAGAGGTATGGTTGCCATCAGTAAAGAAAACAGACTGCTACAATGTACAACCAAGACGACTTGCTAGAAACACCAACACCAGATCCTTCCAACTCCTTACCTGCATGACTGATTCAAGAAAGATGTCTTTCTTTTCAAGAACTGTACATGACTGGAACGCTATACCACCAGACAACACAGATGCAGCCACACTCTCGGCCTTCAAGGCCAGAGTAACGAAGCTCTGGAATCCTTAAAGCTTCTTTTATCCTGTTTTTAACATACAAACTTATTGTAACTGTGTCAGTCCTGTCCCTTGCGAAACTGCAACATATTGCAGAGGCATGAACCTGTTGATGGAGGCAATTACTTGAAGAAGAAGAGAAAGAAGATGAAGATACAACGGCCCGTACGACGAGGTCAACAAGCAGAACTGGGACCAAAACCACAGGAAACCCGTTCTCTCTTCCGTTGGAAGGAGACTGTTGCATACTTTGCTCAGTACTACCGGATTCTAACACAAAAGTGTTGAAGTGACGGAGATTAAGTCATCAGTATTGCATCAAATGTGTTAACAAGAATGAGATTAAACTTGCGGTATTCACGAACTCCGTGGACTCAATGTGGTTCTGTCCTACCTGTCTCGCCACGTTGGAGAAAAACCTCCAAACGAAAATTCAGATTGAATGCAAGTGTGCCTAAATAATAGAGATGTTCGAGGAAAAAATCAAATCATTGAAGATCATCATTAAAAGAAAGTGCAGCGAGGAACAAGTTAAGAAAATAATTAGACAAGAGTTTAAGGAAAACATAGAAGAAAGCGGACAGCAACAACAAGCCAAACACATTGGTAGGGACACCGTTACCCAGAAAGATGTCATTACGGAAGTCAATAAAAGAACAAAACTAGGGAAGGCAACATACAATTGTAATTGTATTTGGAATAAAGGAACAATCTGGTGAAGACGGAGCCGCGAGGAAAGTAGCAGATGAGAAGGAAATACAGGAGATGCTCGGAACATGTAAATGAAGCACGAAGAAATGAAAAATCAAAGATAAAATCGAGATCGCTGTTGTTGTTTTTTACATCATTCGAGAGAAAGAAACCACTGTTCAAAAATATATCTGAATTTAAAGAAGAACGATAACCACAATGGCATCCGCATCAGCAATGGTTCCCGCCGCGATACTACTCACCAGGGGGCGCGCGTGTACTAGGGGGTTACTACCGATGCCAAGATGGCGGACGAGTGTTTTCAGAACTGGTCGGTACAGAAGCTGAAGACTGAATTGAGGAAACGGAGTGCTACTACCCATGGCAGAAAAAGTAAGTTAGTTGAGAGGTAAAACATATTTCATTTCATACTGAATAAAAGCTGCATTTATTGTTGCCTTTCTATCAGTTTCACCCGTCAGCTGTTCGGGTAATCGACTGTCACTGTCGGTGTCATCGAAAGTGAAAGTAAGTTTGGGAACAGGTCCGAAAAACATTATTATTATATTCGTTTATTTTTTTTGATCGGCGTAAATCTCCATCCTATCAATAATGATTGAGATCAAGGTGTGAAGATAATAGGAAGATTTTAACAGTGCTTCTTTTCCTGGTTTGAACAAGCAGGGGGGAGGGGGGCGGCGGCAACAATCCCACTGTCTTCTTTCTTTTGATGTCCTCCGTCTCGGAATTGACGATTATAAACGTGTTAGGGGATTAACAACAAAATGTGATTATTTTATTTTGAGGGTTTTTACCATAAGATAAAAGAGATTTACATCAGGTAAAAACGGCGTTATTTAGTTGTGTATTTGTTGGAACACAGCCATGATCTATTTGATCAAAGGAATGTGCAACACCTTATGATTAAGAAAACCATTCAGGGGTAGAATCGTCCCTCGGAATAGCAGTATGCATGAGAAGTGTGTAGGTGAACTATATTGTTCTCATCAAAAGATATCAGTATACAAAAAGATGTATAGGAACACAGGGGCTCCGAGAACAAATTACAGAATATATCTGTTTGGACTGTCTCTGTAGAAATCGCATTTATTAAATTATTTTGTTTTGTTTCATATAACAGAAATTAAGGAATGAAATTAAATACATGTAGTGTAATAGTAGTATTACAGACTGATTTTTGTTTTTTAACTCACTAATTATAGACCGCATATTTTTGTTTTTATTATTTTTAGATTAAAGGCCTATGAAAGAAATAGGAACTTCAGACAATCTGCTGTTTACCTGCCCGATGTTATTTGTGTGTTTGGCCAGTTGTTGGATTTCACCGATTGATACCAGATCACAAGATTATCCTTCCCAAATTGACTTGGCTGCAGATAGAGGAGTACTTCTTGTACAGATTGGCAGGTATTTATAATCGAAAGATTTAAATACAATTGAGTGTCATTGGTCATGTTGCAAGTGAATTTTATTTCATTAAAACATTACACAGCATTCTAATGAGTCATAGTCCTGTAACTCTTAATGTAATGCAGCTAGCTCAATTTTTTTTACACTGTATTCCTACTTTCAATTATTTTTTACAATTCATAGATATTAAAATTTCATATAAAATTTTGATGAATAGAACAACCAACACAAGTCGGCCAACAGTTGGTAGTAATGTCATGATCATCACACCATGACCAATCACATGGTCTCACAATGCACAGCTGACCTTTGTAATGTGTAATGTGGAATAAAATTGTAATGTGGAATAAAATTAAAAGAACTAAGCTTAAATGCAGTCATAGGTTGGCAAGCAGACAGTTGGAGCCCTTAATTTCTACCAATCTTTTATAAATATTCATTGTTTCAAAATGACCCAGATTTACTGCAATTCAACTTCAGACTTTTTTTGGTAAAAATCATTCATATCAATACTTTTACAGATTACTGAAGAAGGTGCTCGGGAGTTGGAGACCCAAACCAAATTCCAAGTGAAAAGTAAAAAAAAGGGGGTGGAGGAGAAACAGTGGAAGATTACTGCATCTAGGTTTGGGAAAGTCACACATGCTACCTGTCATCGAAACATGGGGGAACTTTGTGAGAGTCTTGTTTCAACTTGGAATCTTAACACAAAAGCCAATCAGCATGGACAAAATTATGAAAAGAAAGCTTTAACCAAATTTGAACAAACAATGATGTTACATGTGAAGAGGGCAGGACTGTATGTACACCCAAAGTATCCA